TTGAATATTGGCCATAGCCTCAGTACTGTGCTTCCACCAGAGTTCTGACCATTGAACCCATGTTGATGGAAAGTGTTCTCATTTGAAAACACCAGGTTTACTTTAAACTGATTTATCTAACCAAAATGATTAATATCTTAAAATTGTATTATTCATAAATGTCAAATAAAAAGTATTTAAATCTGGCCAACGTTTTTCATTGGAGTGTTTGTGATGAAATACTATAAACAAGCCAGCATGTGAAGTAAAGGACATGAGTTTCTGAGTCAGTGAGACTCAGAAGGAGGAATCTTCCTCAGGAGGAGGAATCCAGAGTATGTGACTCCCCAGCCTTGTGGTTTTATTCTGCATACTTAACCCGTAATTATCTGTTTCCTTACCTGGAAACAGCTCCACACAGGAGAGCTATAAAATTCAAATGGAACAGGGGACGGACCAGCACTGCATGTGTCTGTTCTGCAGGCTGTTTAATTGTCCCTCCCTCTTTCCCCTAAATGTACAGAAATGAGATGACAGTTTTTGTCTTCTTTCCCAAAGGCAACTGGGGTCTGGAGAAGAAAAAGAGAACCACAAAGAGAATCTCCTGGTTGACCAGGTTCAAAATACATAGCAAGTAAATTCATCACTTTTAATTTTTTAGGGTTTCTTTTTGTTTTAAATTAATCTGCAGCTTTTCTTCTGAGCTGAAATTAACCACTTTGGACCTTGGTGGTCTCATTTATGAAACTAGACAGTTGGACCACCTACGTCAGTGGATTTCAATTCTGGTTGTACATAAATTCACTTAGGGAGCTTTTTTAAAATGCAGATTCTTGGCCCTACCTTGAGAGAGTCCCTGTTTCTCCTGGGCTGGGTCAGTGTGTGTGGTTTTAGAAACCCACAGACCATTTCTTGCTTGAGACTCAGGTAGTCTTCAGGGCCCTCCACCATCTTGTAAGCCAGGCTCTGGTACAAAACCCAAGGAAATGGTACTCATGCTGGAAAACAAGAGTCCTTCTCCTTTAAAGTATTTGTGTGTAGCTTGTCAGCTCATCCCTTAAAAAAGCAAGCCAGCCCTTCTGAGCAGCTAGGTCCCTGGGAAAGCAAAGCCACACCCCACTGTGCGCTTCAGCCCGTGGAGCAGGCGTCCTGGGAGCGACCTCGTCTGACAGTGGCAACAAGGTCTGGGAGGTTCCCTGACTTGATGATGGAGATTTTGAACTAAAACTACCAAGCGGGGATGAGGCTAAAGATGAGTTATGGTTTAATCTTGAGCCAAGAAGCTTATTTTTAACTCAAGAACAAGTTGAGCTGTGATCTAAACAGGAGAGGACAGCCAGGAGGCTGTGAGTAAGATGGCTTAAGACTGCTCCTGCCTTTGCCGCCCTCTTCCTGTGTCTGAGTGCCATAATTTAGTTCCAAATACAGGACCAGCTCCTGACTTCTCCACCTGTTCCTACCGTCACCATTACATGAGAAAGGCTGCTCCTCCATCTACCGGGGTGCACAGATGGCCCCCAACAGCCGTGTTTATCCAGTCCCCATAGAAGTGGGCACATGTCTCAGTCTTGCCCAGTGCAACTCCCTTCCCTTAGCATCTGGGGTTGGGATACGCTTCTCTTGAACAGGGAAAAAGGCAGATTTGGGACTTACCAGTAGACATATTCTTTGGTATAGACTGTGAAAGAGAGAAAACAAGTCTTCATGGAGACAAATGAAATCATGGATAGAAGTCAGAGGTGCAAGATGAAGAGCGAGGAGGACATCATGTTTCCCCTTGTCCACGAGTCCCATCTGAATCCTTACCTTTGGTGTTCATAACTAATGCCTCTTTGACTAAGATCCTGAAACTGGCTTCTGTTGCTTTTAATCAGAAATGCTCAAATGAGTGTGGTTAATTTGTATGAATCATTCCTCTGTTCATGTTCAAATAAGTGAGAAACTAATGCTTTCCCAATGAGGAAGACAAAATACATGTGAAAGAAAGAAACCAGGAAGTAGATCTGAGTTCAGATCCCTTTTTTAGAATCCTACAACCACACAGAATCACAGACATTTGTTCTTAAAGGTAACTCACTTCCCCTGCTCACTAGCTACATGACATAGGAGATACTCTTTCATCCCTATGTGCTTAACTGCAAAATAGCTATAAAGATTCTATGAAGGGGTAAGAGTTGAATCCTTCACTCTATTGAGGCTTCTTTCAACATTAAAACTTATGTTTATATGGCACTTGATAATAATAAGATGAGTTTCCTCTGGAATTATTCTTGGGGCCACATTCTGCACAAACCAGCTGCTCATGTGAGTGACAGGTAAAACTGAAAATTTTCAACTTGAAATGTCAATTTTGCCTAAATTTTCATAAAGCATTTTGGTTTTGCTTAAAAGCAAATAACCTAAGAAATAAACATACTCAACTCCCCTATTTATCTGAACAAAATTTAGCAAATATTTGTTGAAAGCGAACTAAATACCTGACACTATGCCAGCTATTGTGCCCTCGAAGAGAACCTGCCCTCTGGGAGCGGAGCGGAGTTGGAGTGGCCGATGAGGATACACATTAAGGCATCAAGGTCCGATTGGTGCCGGATGGGGGTACGTTCAAAGACAAAAGGGGAGCTATAGGTAGATTTTGGAGGCAGGCAGGGGTGTGCTGGTAGGTCTCACAGAAAAGCTGATGAGTTCAGTCAAGAGCTCACAGCTGGATGGGGCAGTCTGGGGCAAGAAGAAAGAACAGGGTCTTTCTTCCAGTGAGACAGCATATATAGCAGGTGGGGCTGGGAACCAGGGTCCAATTCTGTAATGAAATAAAAGCCATTCTTTCCAAAGGTATTCATGGATTGAGGCTGATTCAGAGGGAATGAGAGAGATAAACATGAGCTTTTAATACAACTGTGGAAACTCCAGTATTTAAAAATTAGTCACAAAAGATAATAAAAGGATCCAATGTGTATGGGAGCAGTGGAGTCCCAGAGAAGTAGATTTAATGAGTTATAAAGGGAGTAGAGACCCCTTACCTGGGACAGTGGGTTGATGAAAATAGTAAGTAATAACAAGTAATGTTATTGAGTGATTGTGAAATGCCAGGCGCTTCAGGCTTTGCACATGTTGACTCGCTTCACACATCACAGCTCTGTGATGTAGGTTCTGTAAGAGTCATGTCAGGAGGCCCTCTCCCTCCCTTGCTAATTCTACTTTCCCACACTTCTCACCCTCTAATACACAATGGACTTTATTTTACTATGACTTTTTATTTGTCGCTCTCTTTCTGCTAGAATGGACTCTTCTTAAGATCAGGGATATTCGTTCGTTTTGTCTGTATTCCCAACACTTAGAAAATATAGTAAGAGCTCATTAAATATTGGTGAATAATGAATGATAGAAACTGAGGTACAGAATGGCTTATAACTTGCCCCAAACCAAACAGCCAGGGAGTGGCAGGACCTGGGAGCGATGGTGTGAACAGCCAGGAGGCCTTTAGTGAGATGGTGACCTCAGAGAGAAGAATAAAAGAACTTAGGGTGGAGAGACTGGAACATCAGCCTGGTAAGACTAGGTTTTAAAAAAATCACTGACTCATTTATTCATTCAACTATTCAGCAAATACTGAGCACCTACTATGTGCTAGGCATTGTTTCAGGCACAGAGGAAATAATGGTAGATGAGGCAGAAAGGGTCCTGCACTCAGAGGGGAGTAGGTGGCAAGCCACACATCCTCTTGGGTCCTCCTCCCAGTCTGGGCCTCATGTCACTCACCCCAGCTGGCTCCCCACATTGAGTATGTGTCCTGTCCTCTGGTTTGGGCCCAAATTCTTCAGACTCTGGCCTCAGCCCGAGCTTCTGGATTCACCAGCCCTGCTCCCTTTTCTTTTCCAAACTAAAAACTCACTATCTTGGCCTTTGTTCTCCTTTCTGTCCTTGCTGTTGTGCCCTGGTGACAACAAACTTCCAGTCCTGGCCCCATTGGGCCACCGAGCTGGCTGGTGCAACCTGCTCTTCAAGGGCTAGACAGATTCAGAGTCTGACTTCTCCCGCAAGATAACCACATCAGAAAGTTGGTCTGACACCCTTTTTCTTCCATTACATGTGAGATTGCAACACCCCATCTCAAGGTGTGGCTGAGGAGACCACAGTTCACCCTGCCCCGGATCAGTGACTGTGACTCTCCCAGTCATTCCACATTCTCTCCACCTTGGGTCCCCACATAGCCTGTCAAGTCTTTTTCTATTCCTTTCTTTTTCTTCTTCTTCCTCTTCTTTCTGTCCTTCCCCCACACACTAGACCTTCGTTGGCCCTCCCTGGTATCTCTTTGCCTGACAGCCATACTTAGGAGTAAAAAGTTGCCTGACCTCTTTGTGTTGACTAATGCCATCTTTGTTTGGTGCCAGATTTGTTCTGGAGGAAGCTGTCCAAGAAGGCTGGACAGTCAGGGCAGTTTGCAAAACATGCATTAAGCAGAGGTAAGAAGGCTGCTCTGTAATTTTCCCAACGGCTTCCTCAGATCCGTGGGTGATGGCTTGGACACCTTGTCTGTAAAAGACAGGCAAACCAGCTCAGAGCCCAGGAGACCAGCCTGGGTCTCGAATTACATCAACGCAAAGGTGGAAGTGCACCCAGAGCTCTCAGACTGAAAGCTGTCCAGACAACTGCATGGAGCAGGATCACAGACCACTGTCTTTTAAAACCTCAAGCAGGGTAGTTACTGTGTGGACACTTACACTTGACAGTTATTGGTAAATTGTATCAGACTTTCCTGTTGATTCTTTTTCCTGGAAGGAGTTGCACGGTTAATTCCTTGTTGAGGTCTAATCCTTTTTTCTCCCGCCTATGACTGTTTCTCCAGTCCTGCCCCTGGTTTTACTTCTCCCAGAATTTCATCTGAAGGGCGGGACATTCCTCCTACCTCCCCCCATCACAACTGCCTGCAGTCAGGACCAATGAAAACAAAGTGCCTCATCTACCCTGTGATTAAGAACTCAGAGTATTTAAGAGGTTGCAGGAATGGGCTGAAAATTAGCTTTTGCTTTCTGTGCCAACAGACGCGCTCTCATTTGATTTGGACCATCGCTGAGCTGCAGAGCGAAGGGGGAAGAAATAAACCCCCAGACTCCCTGCCACCATGTGCTACGGCAAATGCGCAAGATGCATTGGATGTTCTCTAGTGGGGCTTGCTGTTCTCTGCATTGTTGCTAATATTTTGCTTTACTTTCCCAATGGGGAAACAAAGTATGCCTCTGAAAACCACCTCAGCAAGTTTGTATGGTTCTTTTCTGGAATCATAGGAGGGGGCTTGCTGGTAAGTTGTTTGAAATTATTACAACCTTAAAAATTCTCTGCTTTTAAATGTGATGCTTTCTTCTGTTTTCATGGGAAGTTTTCTAAAATGCATAATTCTAAATCCAGTGATTTTTGTTCATTCTCCTTTTGCAAGCAGATTATGCAAAAGTTGAGATAAGTATAATGTACTAATATTATTGAATGTTATATTGCAAAATCCTCATTTGACTAAAAGTCAAATACCTTTTTGCTAAACTCTCTTAACTTTACAACTAGAAACACATAACAGCTTTTAAATCAGATTTGAGAGACTGGAGTTCCTAGTCCTGAAGCCGGCAGTCATGGAACAATTTTGCTCTGGGGAGCTGGGAGGAGTAGAGCTGGTTTTCTGTCTAAATCAACAGAATTTAAGATCTAAAATCCCTGCTCTTTGTTCTCAGGCATCTGTGACAGAAAAAAATAATGAATTGTGAGACCATAGCTATTTAGAAAAAAATATAAATTTTCTCCTTTATGTAATCCTGGGGTGTGGTGTCTAGGAAAAATCCTACAGTTAGCAGCAGATCAGTGTATGAAGCTAGTAGTGGAATGTGTTGTTTTTTTCCAAGGTTTATTTTTAATTGAAGTGAGAAGAATTTGTCTGCCAATTTTGGAGCTGAAAATATTAGCTTTAACCATAGAATGGAAAGAATGTGTACAAACTGGAGTTCGCTACTTTAAAATGCTGAGATTGAGAATTTTAAAGACAAGTTTTATGGAACTGCTAATACTGGACAAAATCATTTTCTTAGTCAAGTAAAGGGTATGAAAACATTTAAACTTTGACACACTAATTATGGTTTGATAAATCTGCTCTGAATTTAAACACTACTATCACATTAATACAATCATTTGTCCTTAATATTGCACTTGTTTAAGCTTTTTTTGATCTCAAACTCAAAGTATTTCATACTTACTTTATTTTAAAAACTTTATCATAAAGCTACAACCTTACAATCATGTCTGCAAAAAAGTGGCACACTTTAATTATACAGAGCTTTCATCGATCCCATTTTACAAAAAAAAGGTTTCAGTTATTCTTTTAAAGATTGTTAGTATCTTCTATGTTTTACAATGAAAAACAGATTTAAAGACAAGGTTTAATAGTTCCAAAACAGCATTTGCAGCAGAGTTCCTATGTTAGGAACTGTGGTGGAATAAACACATTCAAAGGTTATTATTTTAGCCCTCCCAAACCACACCCTCACCCCAAAGAATGCTTTGACATGCTACATGAAAACAAACAGATAATACATTGAGAGGTTTTTTTTTTCCTCTTCACCATTTCACATTATTTGAGATAGTTCATCAGTTTAACCCAAAGCCCGTAAACAATGTCAGAAACAAATATATTTTACCAAAGATACTTAATCTGACCTTTATGAGCTTAGGGAAAGACAATGACTTCGATTTGCTCGTTTTCTAACCAGATGTTCCTGCCAGCGTCCGTCTTCATCGGGCTGGAACAGGAGGACTGCTGTGGCTGCTGCGGCCATGAAAACTGTGGCAAGAGATGCGCGGTAGGCAACCCCTGCTCCTGGGAAGCAACCCCCCCACCCCACCCCCTGCTCCCCCACGCCGCCCCCGGTTCCCGCACCCTCTGGTGGTGAAAATGGTTTCTACATCGTCGCTGAGACACTGTGGCTCACTCTCGGTGTTTCTCTTTCTCTTAGATGCTGTCTTCAGTGCTGGCCGCTCTCATCGGAATCGTAGGCTCTGGCTACTGCGTCATTGTGGCAGCCCTGGGCTTAGCAGCAGGACCCGTATGCCTCAATTCCAACAACGAGTGGAACTATACCTTTTTCAATACTGAAGGACAGTGAGTAATCGTTCCTTAACAGACCACGCATTCTTACCCTCCACATGTGTTTAGTGGCAAACCCGTCAAACTAAAAAGGCATCATTCATGCATTCACCCATGCCCTTAGCCAGGTTTGTTGGCCCTGACTCAGGCGCAGGCCAGGGTGTCTGGGGATGGATGCTCAGTCCCTGACCTGAAGGAGCTCTAAGAATTTTTAATGAATGCACTGATTCAGCCCTCATGATAACCCTATAGGTGACTGTCACTATTGCTCCATTTTAAAGATGAGGAAATAAAGACACAGAGAGATAAAGTAATTACCCAACGTCACATTGCTAGGACATGCAGTCAGGATGCGAATCCAAGTAGCCTGGCTGTAAAGTTTGTGTTTATGTATGGTATGTACACTATTTCAGAACAGTTGGCTGATTTTATGATTTTCTAAAAAATATTATGGAATCTTTACATGGATGGAAACTATGTGAATTTAACCAAAGCCTAGGGAAATCATAGTAACCCCCAACATACTCTCACATATAACATAATAACTGTGTAAATTGCACCCTAACTTAAAGTGACCAGGCTATATAAGACAAGTCTTATTCACAATTTTAACATCAAGATAATTTAAGATGTTCAATTGTTTTATGTTGGTAGTTATTTCTTATCTGTTATTGAGAAAAGAATAGAAACAGCTGATAGAAAATGTTGTACATTATTAAAAAAGAATGACATCCTTTTTTGAATTTTGAAAGGTTTGGTTATGAGATACAGAGTAGAAATAATATGAATAATGAATTTTAATTGCCTTCATATTATGAAGAATGTCCACCATGAATTGTATAGCATACAGTAAGGTAATAAGGTCAAATATGGCATTAGATACACCTAAGCTTGATCCCAGCTCTGCATTTAGTCTCAAAGTAGGCAGGAAAAAGTGAAATGAGCTTCCTGCATTTCAGTTACTTCATCTGTAAAATAAACTACTGCCAGTTACCAATGAAATACCATATGTAAAATATTTGTCACAGAAGCTGACACACTGTGAGCACTACCACTATTAACTGTTAATATTATCTACTAGCTTACAATGAATACAGCCCAATGTTAGCCTTTGAAGGAAAATGAGCACTTTTGGGAGTATAAAATTTTGGTGTTCAAAAGTTGTGATTTTTTTTTTGTTCAGTACATACTGAATATACTAGTAGAAATAGGTTATTCATGTGTGCACAGACACAAAACTACTGCAAAACCCATCTCTAAAAAAAATGTTATGACTAATGGAGCTGGAATGCAAGGAGAGGTAAGAACCATCACTAAATGTTTTTTATGGCTGTATGATTATACCCCCCTCCCATGATTCACCTCGGCTCCTACAGGAAATCTCATTTCACCGTCTCCAGGAATTGCAATACGGGGAATAACTAATGGTCACAAGCCAATGATTAGTTGCTCAATAGCCAAGTGGGGCCAAAGAATTTTTTTTTTTACATTGTGTCCTGAAATTACAGGTTTTTATTTCAATGACACGCAGAAAGACAGGGCCAGAAAGGCATAATTTTTTGTAATAAACAGATTGAATTTCTGATTGGCTGAATGGACCATTCCAAAGTTAGGTCTCTAATTTCCAGCCCCTTTGTCTTGCTGTAGTAGGAAGAAGTGCTAAGGAAAGAATCATACCAGACCTTTTCGTGGAATTAAGTCATTCCTAGATTTTCCCACAAGATTAACTCTTAGTTTGTTAAGGATTAAAATACTGTATGAGGTAGCAAAGGTCAAAATTCTAGGAAAGGAATGAGAGAATTTTTTAGACTTTAAGAATATCTAGTTTATTTGGAAAATCTCCTGATACACACACACACACACACACACACACACATATATGACCTTAGTATTATTCAGATATGACTTTAGTATTATTTAGATATGACCTTAGTATTATTTCCTAAGATTTCTCATAGTGGCTTTGGATGGTTATGTATCATGCAATTACTTTTTAAAATCATGTTGAGAGCCTACTATGTGCCAGATAGTGGTCTAGCAGCTGAATACACAATGATGAAAGGTCTAGTTTCTATCTTCATGAAGCTCAGAGTTGTGAAAAAGCTACATAAGGAGGTTCTCCCTGGCCTACGTTAGGTGACTTTCCTCTGTGGCCCTTTCGCATGTGGTTTCCCTGATTAGTATACTTGTTGCACTGAGATGGCCTATTGTCTGTGCGCTTACACTGTGCTTCTCCAGGACAGAGCCCATGCTATGTTCACTCTTGTATCCCCAGCCCTGGCTCAATGTCTCACTCACACTAAGTGCTCAATACTCTCTGTTGAAATTTGTGTTTATCATTGCAACAAAATCTGGGCTAAATTGTCATTGTGGAATGATACGGATTGGAAGAATTTGAGATGGGCCGTTGAATTAATTCATTCTTTTTTTCTGGAAAAAAAAAAAACAGCCCACAAAAAGTAACTTATGAGACATCTCATCAGATGTGGTTATGTCAGAAGTTTCCCTTCTCATCCACAGATACCTTCTAGATAGTTCCACATGGTCCCAGTGCACTGAACCCCAACACGCTGTGGAATGGAATATCTCACTGTTTTCTATCCTCCTGGCACTTGGTGGAATTGAATTCATCTTGTGTCTCATTCAAGTAATAAACGGAATGCTTGGAGGAATATGTGGCTACTGCTGTACTCACCATCAGGTAAGAATCTGTGAAAAAGTCCTGGCATGGCCCTCAGGTATTCAATTACCATAATGCACCATTGTTTTCAGCACAGAGAAACAGGCAAAATCAAATACTGCTCAAACTATCAGCATTTATTCCTACATCCTCTTTGTGGCAAAGCATATACAGCATTCGGTTTTGTTCTTAATAATGTTTCCTTGAATGTCACAGTCACTGAGTTACCTTGGGTCTTCATAGTTGGCTCTGTGAATATAAGAAAATGCCACCTATAGACAAAGTGCCCCATTCAGGAGCTAACCCACTGCCCCTTTCACTGCCTCTGCTCTGGCTGCAGACACAAAGAAATGTCCTCTCTTTGCTTCTCTCATGTTCCCAACTGATTTTGACAAATAATAGCCAACATTCATTGCACTGGGCATTGTGCTAAACCCATATTTCAGATGAGACTATGACTCAGGGATTAAGCAGTATGTCTAAAACCACCTAGTCAGGCAGGAAGTAACAGGCTTCGAATCCTGGGTCATTTTATGCCACAGCACCTGCTCTTAACCTATATGTAATACTCACTATTTTGTTGGTTTTTATAATTCTTTTCTAATAAGGAGCCACAAAAAGTGCAAACAGAAAAGCATAGGAAATCACTAGTAGCCTTTCCATAGCCTTTCATTGTGAAAGAAAACCAGGAAGCACTTGTTTCCTGGGGATATGATTTTGAAGAGAAATATGTATTTGTTAGTAATGGGCAAAGTCCTTGTTTCTATAACCTCAAAAAATCATATATTATTGAATTGATGGAGATCCAGCTTTGGTCCAATTTTGTTTTATGTCTTATTCTGTAAAACAGGATTAGGTAAATAGAAATTTATTTAATTTATATTTTCCTAACCATTTATTTTTCTGGTTCAAGGTCTCTTAACTTTCTTTTAAAATGAGACAAAACCCAATGAACACTAAAAACCCATTGTTACCATTAAAAAAAAAAAACTTTGCTTTAAATAAAAGGAAACTTTCTATAATTTTTGAGGGGAAGTTAAAATAAAAACCTAGTTTTCCTTATCAGGCAAGTACAGCAAGATTAATAATTTCTTTGGGAGCTTGCCAAATTCCCAAGAAAACAAAAGAGTGGGAAACCTTTAACATGGAGTTGTTTCCCGGCCACATGGTTTGGGAGAGGCAGAGAAAAATCCTCTCGGGATTGTTACAATGTAACCTATCTTTAGCCTTGAGCTTCATATAAGGCAAAGTTTAAATTTGGTGAGGCCCCACTGGACTTGAGCTCTCATGCATTTTGGGGACAGGCATAGTATGTCAATGACCAAAGTTACTGTAGTGGTTTAGCAGAGTGATACTTTCCCCTGGGAGGGAGCAAATAGTCCCACTGGGTTTACCATCTGAATCACAGTAGGGCTTCTTTCCAAACACTGCACGGAGGATCTGTTTACCTTTGTTAAAAGACAAAAGTGACTTTCAAAGGGCAAGGTTTTCAGTGTAGATGAGTCAAGTTTGTAACTCAGTAGCATTTAATTAGAAAGGTTACCCACATTGAGCCCACTCCTGTGTGCAAGTCCCATGGCATTATCTCTGAAATCCCTAAGATGAAAAACCTGCCCCAAACACGCTCAGCGCCAACTCAGCGTTGGTAAGCCACAGTTTCCGTGGCCCCTTTCTGCAGCTTTTACTCAGAGAGGACAACGAGTCTGTCTGGTTTGTTTAGGAAACATTTTGTGAGCATTGTCTAAGTTCTCAGTATTGTTGGCCAAAGCTCTGCTGAAGTTGAGATCAGTCTACTTTATGTTTGCTTAAAACAGGAGTTTAAAAGACTGAAATGCCATCATTGTTTGTTTAGCCTGATCATAACCTTATGCATATTTCATTTTCTTTACAGCAATATGACTGTTAAAAAACCGCTCCAAGACAGAACCACGATCTTCATTTTATTGTAATTTATATATTTTACTTGTATTAATTTGTAAAACTTTGTATTAGTGTATCATACGTCTTATATTCTACTTTTGTAAGTGTACGTAGAGACTGACATCTTCATGTAGTGTCAGTGTTGGCATGTAGCAAACAAACTTTTTTTTAAGGAATGAGAAAATAAAACACACACTGGAGGTAATTTACAGATTGAGTGATGGTCCTCAGCATATCTGATATAAACTTTGGCTTGAAGTAATATTTTTGAGAAACATTGCAAAGATAAACATTATATCCCAATTATTGTTGAGCATATGTGCTAATGTTTCTTAAATGAAAGATTTCTAGTTGCTTTTTTTAAGGCCATGAAGGCGAAAATCCAACAACTTGAAAAGATGTTTTTTCACTGTTTATATGATGTTTCCCATTCATATACCTGCAAATCTCTAACATAGGCCTCTTTGAACTGTTTTGGTTTCTGGGAGAGATAGCTCCTTGCCCAGAGTGGGAGGACTGACATGATGCTCCAAGCTAACTGAACGAGTCAAAGCACGCAATGCTGCGAGTTGCTGAAAGCATTACTGGATCTTAAATTTTCCTAATATGTGGAAAGGTTTTTGTTCTTCAAAGACAAGCACTGAGGGTCATGCATTTAAGAAGAGAAAGGCCTGGATAATTGGACAGGAAAAAGGATGGGGAATGGAATACAGCAGTTGATCAGCATCACAAGAAAATGTGGGAAGAGGGAGATGGGGTAGGAGGACCACAAGGGAATACCCCAAAGTCGCTTGATTAAATATAACAAAATAAAGTATTCTCTACCATTTTTTTCTTGTTTAGTTTCATTGTCCTTTGTTTAAAATTTCCTCTTTTTTCTGCCCTCCCCAGTCTGCAGGTTGTGAAACCCCTATTGCCAGAGGCTTTGTTTCCCGGTTTCTTTAGCCTACTTTCTCTCCGTCCTCTCCTACCTTCTTCTGCTATCCATACATTATCATTACTATGCTATCTCTTGGGGTCTTCAACCCAGTTAGGTAACTACCTTTCTGTGGAGTGCTGCAGGCATCAGGCTCCTACAGGGAAGGGGTAACAGACATTTTCTCTCACTATTTTATGTCGGTTGTACAGAGTTAAGCTCTTTCAAGTGATGGGATCCCCTGATGTATTTATCGGGGACTGTCTTCAGAAATTTTCTGCTTTCAATGTTGTCCAATGATGGAGCAAAGCTGTAATGGCCACTGTAACAAGAAGGTATCTTAAGACCAACAAACGAAGCAGAATAGAATATAACAGAAATTATGACAAGGTAATTTACTTATGGGATGTTTGGGTCAGAGGAAGAATGGATGACCCAACAATTCTGGACAGAAATTCTCTGCTGCAGACTCCTGTAACTGCACTTTTTAACATAGCATAACAGGTACTAATAATTGACAAGACAAAAGGACAAAGAAAATAGTAGTGACAGGAGCCATGCCTCCAGGTGGCCTCAAAATAAATGATTTTTTATAATCGATACTATCACAGGTTGACATTTATCTCTAGTTGTCATGCCTTCTTAACAAAAATATTTATGGCTACGTTTTAAGGTCCACAGATGATCATCAACTAGAAACCTAGAAATGCTTGCCAAGAACATGGAGTGAGGTTGGTCAAAGGTCACAGCATGAAACAAAAAATGAAATAAGCCTTGGCCAGATAGCTCACTTGGTTGGAGCATTTTCCCTCACACCAAAAGGTTGCAGGTTTGATTCCCAGTCAGGGCACATACTTAGGTTGCCCAGTTCAATTGCAGGTCATGAAAAGTGTGAGAGAGGCAACTGAGTGATGTTTCTCTCTCATCTTGATGTTTCTCTCTCCCTTCTCTCTTTCTAAAATCAATAAACATATACACAGGTGAGGATTTTTAAAAAATGAAATGATATCCAGGACACAGAGATGGCGTTGGTTTTGTTCACATCTACATCCACACTGGAGTTTATTTGCCTAGGCAACAGACAACAGTTAATAAAGAGGCTTCGCTGGCTGTTAGACAGACAGCTCCAGAGCTGCCCCTGCCTGTGAGGCCCCCAGTGGTGATTTCCTGATTGAAGGGCTCTAATCTTTTTTGTGCCTCTGTCCCTCTGGCAGTCTGATGAAGCCCTACAGGCTCCTTTGAAGCATACTGTTTAAAAGTGAATAAAAAAATACATAAGATTACAAAGTAAATCAGTGTATTGAAATATTTTATCAAAATATTTTTGAAAATTATAGTTGTCTTGATGGTCAACTCCATCACATCAATATCTGTGAACAGGAAAACAGTGCTCACATGTAATCTAGCAGTGGTCTAATGAGTGGGCCTAAGAACTACTGTACTTTTACAACACAATTCCAATTGAAGTGAAATTTTGAGATACATGCAACAATTTTAATGTGATATGAAAATAATATGTAATTTTGTATTGTTGATCAAAGCATGATCAGTATTGCTGCTACTACTCTGATTTGTTGCATGCAACCATAATTAAAGTAATACTAAATGTTCACTAGAGGTTAATAAAAATAATGACCTTTTTTTTCACATTCAAGTTTAACACTTTTTCTCATAGGCATCTATCCATGGACCTCTTGGGAGTTCTTGCACCAGGTTAAGAACCTATGCAGTAGAGGATCCAAAAAAGAGGCATTATGATCAGGTATAATCATCTTGTTTTCCTAAAGGTGTCCTCAAAGGAAATGGCAATAATAATTATTAACCATGTCAGTTATGGTAGTTAGCTTCTACACATAGTATTTTACTGAAATCCCTCAACAGCCCTAGAAGGTGCTTCTTTTCTCCCTTTTATAGTCAAAGCTCAGAGAGGTTAAGAAATCTGCCAAAGACCGTGTCTTTCGCAAGTGATAAAATTACCATCCTAATCCAGGTCTAACTGAAAACCCAGGCTTTTCAGCTCCTCTTAGTGCCTCTACCTCTGCCGCCCCTGCCCAGGTGCTGGGATCTTACCTCCTCCGATACACACTCAGGCCTCCCCACTTGCCTAAAGGGGCTTTGACAGACTCCTGGGGTACTCAGCCATCCCTATCCCAGAGCCCACATTTGAGTGATTCACTTTTCCCTGTAAATTCTTTAGTAATAGACATTGCCATTGCACAGAGGAAATAGCTTATTCAAGTTAAAGGATATCTTAGTTTTTTTAAATATTTATGGCTTACACTCTGGATCTGTAACATTCTGAACCCCTAAATTTGGCTGGAAATCCCCTCAGGGCTACTAAGACAGCTTATTATCACCTAGCAGCATAAAACTAATAAAAATGCTGTAAAATCTGAATCACTTGAATAGCACACATGGCCTCAAGGTTAATACTTCAATCTAAGTGTCATAGGGAATAGTAACCAAATTTACCAAGGTTACCAAATTTACAAATAACTGCTTGCATAAAGGAAATCTCTTGAATTGAAATCTAAGAAAATTGATGGAATGTTACCTTCGTTACAGTTTGTTTCTTAGATGTGTATGAGAATACTTTTATTACATTCCCTTTGTTGCTTACCCTCTGTGGGAACAGGTATGGAATTTGATATAATTTTTCAGAAAAATAACAATCTATAAAGTCTGAATATCCTTTAACCCAGTATTTTTAATTTTAGAAGTTTATTTTAAGAGAATCATTAAGGATATTTGATTACCAGAGATAATATTGGAAGTATTGTTTATACCAAGAAAAATTATAAGAACCTAAAAGTCCAACAAGGAACTGGTTTCAAAAAATGTTGTCAGCACAATAAAATTATATTTATATTTAATATATATAAACTAAAATGTAATTTTAATCTGATTGTGGGTGATTTTGGTCTTGATTTGCTTATCTATACTTACTAAAGTTTCTACAATAAACCCATTACTTTTGGAAAGAAAATAAAAATGAGAAGAGGAAGATTTAGTTTTGAAATCATTCAGGGAGCAGTCCACTGTCTTTAAAGGAAATGCTCCAAATGTATGAGAAACCATTGTTCTTAATGGTGAAGAGAAGATTCATTCTACAGTCAACACTGAAGAGTAAATGTGCATGTAAATAGGTGGAGGGATGGGCCTGGTGGGGCAGGCAGTAAACATAGGCTAAAAACATGAGAAGGCTGTATTCCTACTCTGTGTTTAGGAAATGTAAGTTCACGGTATCTACTTAGCTTAGCTATTAAATAAGATTTTAAAAAATATCAATGACACTATCTGTTCTTTTATTTTAAAAATGAAAGTAATAAAATTCCTTTACTTTAAGCATTGGCCTTTTATGAGGACTTTTTGTAGCATAACCTGAATATTTCTCATTTACATTTCTGAAATGAGAGGAAGGTTAACAGCGGCATGGGTTTATAGGATTTGGCCCAGCCTGGTTTGTGAAGATGATCCGATGTGTTTTAACAAGTACAGAAACTGAGTCACCCATCATATAGGCTAGTACAAATTGTTCCTCCTTCCCTTTCAACATGAAATACCTGTGTGTGTGTGTGCGCGTGTGTGTGCAGGCGTGTGAATTTAGATACTTTAATCACTGCAGTTAAAGAAGATTGCTAATCTATTCTGGAGGTGAATTTCATGTTAATTCCTGCAATTAATCCTTTCTTTCTTTCTCTCTCTCTCTCACACATGTGCGCGCACGCACACACACATTTTCCAACTATACAGCAATTTAAAAGAACAAACTAATACTACATGAGACGATTGGGCGAAGCTCATAAATAATGAGAATAGAAACCATCTACACTGTCCCTTCTCAAATTTTGACAGAGTTCTAAATGTAATCTCAATTAATGTAGCTAAATCCTTAATGGAGAGAAAGGGGTGGTGAGTCTCCTTATGCAACATTTCACACATTGTCTTTTTTTTTTTTTAACTGGAGCAATACTATAATAGTTCCCCAAGACGGGCAGTGTCAAGAGTCCTAGATTCACAAGTTCCATCCTGCCAGGAGAAGACTCTGTGTCAAGCATGCCACTTGTTAATTTGCACCACACCCTTCTCTTTACAAATATCACTGATTCATGTGCAGGGCTCACGTGCAACAGCCACTCCCATCTCAGATGAAGATGATGCCTAGAAGGGTCTGAAAACAAAACTAAGATAGCCAAGTTGGGATCTCTCCGAATACCTAACTCTATATTGTTTAAGGCAAGTCCTTGACTAAAGCAAGTCCAGCACTCGTTCTGAAACTACAGTAAGCTCTCCTGATAATCTATGACAACTATGAAATTTTTAACCTTAAAATTTTTTTAAATAAAAAAATATTAATTTTTTAAATTAATTAATTAATTTTTTCAAATACATTTGTCTCTGCCTACCCCCCACCACTTTCCCTTGTCCCCTTGTTCCCTCCCTCTCTCCCTCCCTCAACTCCTCCCCTTTGGTTTTGTCCATGAGTCCTCGCTATATGTTCCTTGACTTTCCCCTTCCCTTCCTTTTCCCCCGCCCCCTCCTCCCTCCTTCCCTCCTGTCTCTGTTGGTTTCTTTTCCTTTCAGTGTTGCTGGTCTTATTTTCCTTGCATCGTTGTATTGTTGGTTAGGTTCCGCTTATAGGTGAGATCATATGGTATTTGTCTTTCACCTTCTGGCTTATTTTGCTCAGCATAATGCTCTCGAGTTCCATCCATGCTGTCACGAAGTTTAGTAGTTCTTTTTTTCTTTCTGCTGCATAGTATTCCATTGTGTAAATGTACCATAATTTTTTGATCCAATCAGCTACTGATGGGCATTTAGGTTGCTTCCAACACTTGGCTATTGTAAATTGTGCTGCTATGAACATTGGGGTGCATAGGTTCTTTTGTATTGGCGTT